CAGGGAGTGGCAGCGGGGCCGACTCTGCATCAGGGCACAGATTTGTGGGACCTTTTCTTTCCTTCTTACCATTCCCCGGGCTCTGCTGTCCCCTCTCTAACCCATCCATGCACCAGCACAGGCTTGTGTCCGTTCCCTGCCCTGCTTGCCCGCAGATCTCAGTGTTTGTAAGCGCAGGGACGAGTTAGAGCCGCGCGCTTGCTTTGTGCTGCTTCTGCTGCTGTCCTGCTCCTTGAAATGGATCCCACGTTGTCGGTCTCTTGGCTTTCAGCGCAAATTGGTTTAAGGCCACTTCTCTCCCTTGCTTTGTGTCCAAAGTGCCCAACCTGCTGGTAATGGCCCAGCGCAGACAGGGAGTTCCACCGCGGCTGCGGCAGAGAGCTTGGGCAAGCTCGATTCCTCCTGTCGGGCACCAGGAATGGGAATTTGCCAGTGATGCTTGTCGGGTGTGGAGTCCTCCTCCCCAAGCCTTCCAGCCAAAGTGTGAGCGTGCCCCTTTTACCGGCATGTGGATGCCACAGTTGCTGTGCTCTGCCCTGTACTGAGAAACCCCTCGGCGTCCAGAGGCCACTGGTTTGGGTCTGTGCCTCCTGTGTATTTGCCTCTGGTTTGGTTTCTTCCAAAGAGCCCTTAGAAGCGACGTGTGTTGGGGTTACCTCCGCACAGGTCTCCAGGTGAAGTCTCCCTTCCTTTGCAAGTGCCGAGGTCATGCAGTGTGTTAGAGCCGTATCGCAGCCCTGTGATGCTCACAGGCAGACATCTGTGGTTTTTTACCCTTTCAAGTAATTGCTTTAAAAAAAAAAAGAAACAGGAAAGGATTTTTATGACCTTGTAGGACATTGTTTTGACCAGAAGTGTCTGTCCATGAGAGGTGAGGGAAGCAGGAAGGAGCTGTCGCAGTTGGGACAGGACCTCAGAGAGCCTCAGACAAGGGTCTTTGTTCTCCTTCACCTTCATCTTCTGACTTCGGGCTGCCTCCAGGTTAGCCTGCCTGAGGCTCTTTGGACTTATAGACAAAGCACAGTCCTCTTACCCTCTGAACTGCAGACTCCTGCCTTGATAAAGGCAGTAGGTCCCAGAGCAGTGAGCACTAAGTGAAACCCCTGCAGGGTGGGCAAATACTTCACAAGGGATCACAGCCCCAAAGGAATGAGGTGGGTCTGTGAAGCAAACTGAAATTTTTTCTCTCCTTTTGTCATGTCTGCCCCTGGGGACAGGAGAAGACACGACACAAGGAGAGAAAAAAATGCTGACCGTTCCCTTGTGCGATTGCATCCTGGGAACGCTCCTCTGGACTCTCCTGTCTCCGCAGATGACGAATTTGAGTTAACAGATGTATTTTTTCTTCCTTCTCTCTGAAGACACCGTCTCCAGCAAACTGCAGAACAACAACGTCTACACCATCGCCAAGAGGAACGTGGAGGGCCAGGACATGCTCTACCAGTCTCTGAAGCTCACCAATGGCATCTGGATCTTGGCTGAGCTCCGTATCCAGCCGGGGAACCCGAACTACACGGTGAGGGGTTGGAGCACGGAGGGAACATGGCGCAGGCTGGGGTCCTTCCAGTTCACCTCGCCTGCAGAGCGAATTCTTCCTGCTCTGCTTGCCTGGAGGGAGATCTTGCCGGGGAGGGTTAGGAACGGCCGCTGAACTGGGGAAAAACCGAGGAGCAGCAGAATCGCGCTGCTCAGTTACCGGCGAGCTGGGATAATGCCCACTCAGCAAAGCGCGGTTACTTGCCAAGGTTACCCAGAGATCAAGCCAAGAGTCGTTAGCGAGGAAGCGTTGCCAGGCTGCCCTTCCCCCCCTCAGAAGGAGAAATTTGTGCCGTGCCGCGGTCCTGCAGCAGAGACCGGCTGGCTGGATCTCGGAGGCTGGCATCGGCCCCAGGCTGTCCTGCATTGTGCCCTCCCTTTGACTTTGCTCCCCTTCGGAGGACCTGTGTGTCTGAGCAGCTCGGTGTTCGAGCATTTATGGCCCGTTAGAAGCCGTTTGAGGAGTTTCAAGAAAAATCTGTGGGCTGGGGATGCTCAGGGTGAAAGCAAGTGTTGGAAGGCGACGGAAAATGAGGCGTCAATCCTTGTGCTAACAAGCCTGGGCTCAGCCCGGTCCTCTCTTCAGAGAGGGGCAACAGCCAAGTCTGTTGGGACCCAGCAGAGCGAATCCTTAGAAGCCACCCGGTTTAGCAACACGAGGGCGAGCAAGTCCCTTGTCTCCTTCCTTCCCGCCTGCAGAGGCACCTGCATTCGTCAGGAGTTTGCTAAGGAGCTCCTGCAGTGGGAGTTTGCTTTCGTGTACCTCCTCCTGCTTGTAGCGAGCTCTGAAAAAGGCAGCTTGGTGTCGGTGACAACGCGAGCGGCACACAGGAGAAATATTCTTGTCAGCAGCCGCGTCTGCGATCTGCCCAGCCCACGCCGTAGGTCAGACCCTTCCGGTTGCCTGCGTGGAGGTGGCAGAGAGCTCCTGCCTCGCTTTGCACTAACGTCTCCTCTCCTCTCCGCAGCTCTCCCTGAAATGCCGAGCTCCCGAAGTGTCCCAGTACATCTACCAGGCCTACGATGCCATCTTGAAAAACTAACAGGAGATCAGCCCGTGCCTCACCCTGCAGAAGGAGGGGGGAGAAAGGGGTCCCCCAGATCCTCCTGCACCGCCGGTGTGGGGAGAAGCACTCTTAACTGGAAGCAGCTCTATTCATATGTAGGATTTCAGTCAGAGGCACTGATTAAACAAGGTAGCGAGTAGTATCCACGTGCTAATGATGATAGGGAACAAACCCCTTTGATATTTTTAGCGTCCATGGAGTTTGTAACCACTGCTTCGACTACTCCCCCTGTCCCCCTTGCCCCTCACTCATTGTCCGTTCTCGTGGGCTTCTCCATTTTGTGCCAATGGTCAGTGTTTTCTAAATGGCTTTAGGTGTAGTTACGATTTTGTAAAATACTGCTCATCGGGGAAAAAAAAAAAAACCAAGCAAAAATCACACATCCGCTCATTAAAACAAGGCAAGTGTCGAAAACATAACACTGCACTTTATTTTATATTTTTATACTTTTTTTTGAGTTTTTCTATTGTAATTGGCTTAAAGGAAAGGTGATTCCAAGGAAGTATTGGGAGCCCTGCAGGGCCGTCGGGCTCTAGCAGGCTGAGCACAGCCTCGAGGAGCGAGGAACAGAGCCATCGGTTTGGTCTGTGGAGGCGGAGGGAGCCCTAAAGAGAGAGGGGGTTTTTATTACACTTGTGCTGGCAGACTCAGCTCTGCTTTTGATGGTGTGTTTTCACTCCAGCCATCTCCCTGGCTCATTAGCTGCTGATTTGAGAAGTGAGGCTGCTTCTGTGTGGGGAGGAGCTGCAGAGCTAGCTGGGTAACGGGACAGTGGTGGGTGAAATGAAGGAAACGAGCCCGCTCTCAGGGCAAAAGGCTCGTTGCCAGAGCTCCAGGTGCGATCTCTGCATGCTCACCCAGCCGCAGCCCCTCTTCTTCTTGTTCTTTCCGTGCCTGCTATGGCCGAACTGCCTCCTCGGCCGTCCCCTGAGCTGTGCCCCCTTCCCCCAATGCCGTGCTGACCCCCGGCAGTCCCGGGGGCTTGAGGTGAGAAAGGCGAACGCAACGGCA